GATACAGATGAATGTCCATTTTGTATCTGTGTATTCAAAATGGTTAGGATAGATATATACATTCTCTTAATGAATAGAAGGATTTGTTCTAATGGTGTTTGTAAATAGGATATCATGTCCACATCTTGTACAGCAATTAACCACTAGGAAGAATGCATGCAATGTGTTAATTATTGAACCTGTCCTACCAAAAATAAATAAATAGATAAATAAAACCCTCTCTAAGTTGCTTATAGCGTACTTCATTATACTGATGGAAAGCTAACTAACATAGTATTCAGAGATACTATGAATTATTACTGTATCATATATAAAAATGAATGAATGATATGGATAAAACTGCTTCATATATAAAAATGAATGAATACTCTGACATGGAAAACAATAAAGGCATCGCCCAGGATGAATTAGTTTCTCTCTCAGAGACACATGCTAGATCAACAAAGAAGTGCGACTCATGATTAATTATGAAAGAACTTCAGAAATCTCAGCTTCCAGCTGGGAGTACAGGTAGTGACTGCATAGCATATGAAAGGCCTAAGACTTACTCCCTAGTGCAAGCACAAAATGAAAGCTCACTTCTTATGTCTCTACCTCAAGAAATGCTCATTCCTTTCATTTCCAAGGCTTTGATTCTTCCCATTAATCCAAACATTAATCCATTTCTATTGAAAAAGAGGGTATAAGGAAAGACTCACGTGAAGACACTTTGACTACACTGACTCCAGTCATTACTTTCCTCAGTTCCACCTTGAGTTGCCCCTGCAGCTAAATGGCCAACATGAGTGTTGCTGTCCCTCTGGATACTGGGTTTCATCTGAAGCACAGAACACTGACTCTCTGGCCCCTAAAATAAACCAGTCATAGCATTTTATATCCAATACTGAACAGCTTTGTTTTACATTCTTAAATTGTTCCAACTTTGTGTAAACTTTTTCTAATTCTCTTATTAAGCAGTTGCAGTACTTACATAACTCCATTTTTGTTGCTAAACCAATGATCAAGTCTTTATTCTACCTGGAGAAAGCAAATCTCACTTCCCACGTGGCATACAAAGGAAATTATCCACCCAAGTTTAAAAACTATATTGTCATTGTTCAGGCCACACAATAACTATATATATATATTTTTTTTTTTCTTATTTATGTATTTGATCCAGGGTCTCACTACACAGCTTAGACTCATAGTGATCCTCCTGTCTCAGCCTCCTCAGCGCTAGGATTACAGGCGTATGCTACCAAGCACAGATTTGGTGGCCAGCTCAGTGGAGGCCCAGGTTTTTGCACTTGCCAGGCAGACAGACCACTGAGCTATCTCCTCAGCCCAATGATGACAATATAAAGTGAATGTTCTTGTTTCTCTTTGTTATTATAAACACATTTAGTTGTAATTTCAAAATTACACAATGGGCGAAAACATATGCAGCTAAAATATAAGGGATGGATTTTTTTTTTTTTTTAAAATGTATTGAGTACTGGGTCTACAGGGTCTCACTACACAGATCAGAGGTGTAGTGATTCTCCTGTTTTCAGCCTCCCAAGCACTGGGATTACAGGCACAAGTCACCACACCCACTCTCAATCTTTGTCTCAGCGTGCCCCGGGGGCAGGGCCGACATAGCACACTGGGGATTGAACCCTGGTTGCTGAGCTATGCCTAAGCAGGCCCTAAGGATGGATCTCTTTTTGTTTCATTTAGATATTTACAGATGTATTACTTAGAAATATAAAAGATAACAAATATTATTTCACATAAACTGTATATCTGAAGGACTGCAAAAATAGAAAAACCCATAAAAACAATAAAAAATTTAAATAATTCTCACATACATACACTTTTATACCCTTCAACCTGGAATAAACTAGCCCAGAGGCACTTGCCATTTACTATAGAAGAGAAAGAGCAATCAGAACTACTTTACTACATGTTTTGGTTTGTGTCTAGTTGTCTCCCCAAAGCCTCATGTAAGTTACAGGGCAGATGTGGCTGGAGGAGCAACAAGTGGCTTGAGGGGCGGGGCCCAAGGGAAGGGGCCAGAGAGGTGCGAACCCTTAAACTGGCCAGCCTGAGCTTTCTTAGAGGGGTGGAGAGGGTCATACTGGACAAGGCAGCGCCCCAGCCCCTCCTCCAGTGTCTTGAAACCTCCAGTAACTGTGAGCTAAATAAACTTTTCTTTCCCTCATTTTGAGTGTTGAGTATTTGTCCCAGCAATAAGAGAAGAGTAACTAATACACTATTGATGCTCATCTTTTTCTTTAAAGAAAATTTTTTTGAGGTTGGGTCTCACTGCATAGTTCAGGGTAGGTTTGACTTCACTAGGTTGCCCAGGCTGGCCTGGTACTCAAAGGGATCCTCCTATCTAAGGCTCTGATTGCTGAGATTACAGGTTTGGGCCACCACAACCAGCTCATATGCTTTTCTAGGTTATGTTTTTCAACCTTTTTTGGAATGCAGATCCTCCTGTATTGTCTACCAGAGTGCTGGAATTACAAGCATGTGCTATTATATCCAGTTCCCTTTTTCCTTTCTATAAACACATATAAAACCTTAAAACTTGATGGCCTCTCTGAAAGTACTTTAAGAACTAAAGGAACCCCTTGAAGAAAACTACATTAGTATACAGAGTATAATTACTATTGTCTCATTTCCATTACTTAGTGATGCTTTATAGGTGATGAAATATAGTTTTAATCTAAAAATGACATTTCTTATTTTAACAGCTGATGTCCTTACCTTATTTTTTGCCTTATATGTCACAAAATAAGGTTGTTCCAAAAGCCACAAAGATGTAAGAATGGCAGCTGTAGAGGTCTTTACACGAATAACTGCACTGTACTCAGAGGACAACCGAGTGATACCAGAATCACAGAGGAGCCTTCGCTCAGACCACCTCACCATCCACTCTAGCAGTCGTCCTACACTGCTGTACGTGCTCTCTAGCACCACAGGAAGATCCTCCTGCAGGTTAGTATCACTGCACTGAATAGCTCTGAAACTGCATTTTCTAGTTTTAATGGACTCTGGCGTCCAAAATTTATGTTTTGAAGATTCCTGGATTAGAGATTTCTCTTGATTACCATCTTGAATTCTATAAATTGACTTCTGCTTTAAGCCAAACAATCCTTCTTTTTCTTCACTTTTAGTGACTTCATTTGATGGATTCTCTAAAACTGGTCTGATCCTTCGATTAACTGGTTCCAATGCTGAAAGTGCCTGCTTGTCTAAACTTAAAGCACATTTATCATTTAAAGCAGATGATTTTTCAGATTCATATGACTCAGGAACAGCAACAAAGCAGGAGCCAGCTCTATACACATTCTGACTTTTGGTTTTTCCCTGACGTCGTTTTAATGTTGTATGTACATCAAAAAGTAAAGAATTAAGTTCATGTTCCCTAAGCTGTCCAGAAAAACTAGTTAGAAATGGAATGCCAGGATCTCCGGAACTGACTAGGTCTCTTTCAAGAACATAACTCAAAAAGAGATCAAGGAATTTAATATACTCATCATCATCTCGCTCAAATTCCCAAACACCTATTACAGGAAGCATATTTTGTGATAACTTTTTGTGATCTTTCCCTATAGAGCTTTCTTTCTGCTCACAAATTGTGTTTCTATTACTGGGCTGACCAACAAATGATAGTTCTGAGTTCCTTGGGGTATTCCTAGAGCAAAAATGAAAAAGAAAAAATTAATGATCATTTAATTTCTAAGACAGATACTAGAATTATCACTGAAAACTAAAGCATTGTGTGGTAGCCCACACCTATAATTACAGCACTCAAGAGGCTGAGGCAGGAGGATCACCCTGGGTTCAAGGTCAGCCTGGGCCACTTAGTGAGTTCAACACCACCCTGACTGCATAGTGAGACCTAGACCTTGGCTGCCTCATGCCATCTACCCGTCCCCCCAAAATTCTTGCCACTACTGAGGATGACAGTACGGACTTGTAATCCAAACACTTGGAATTACACTTAAGGCGCAGGAGGTTCACTTGTTTGAGCCCCATCCTGGGAACTTAGTAGAGTGGGTGTCTGAAAAATTCACGAAGGGCTACAGGGTATAGTGCAGCTCAGGACAAAGGACTTGGGTTCAACTGCTAGCAGTGTTTAAAAGAATTCTCTACTCGTTAAGTTTTGGATCTTTTCAGTGCTTCAATTACCCATTATTCAAATGAGGGAGTGTAAACTAAAGTTAGTGCGTAAAGCTAAAAAATACAACATATTGATATCAAATAAAATTTGTTAGAAGAAATTAAAATGTGCTCATAAATTTTCATTATAAAAGAAAAGGAATTTTGTGGAGGGCAGTAAAAGTTCTCCAACATTAAAATTTAGGAATAGAAAATAAAAAAGTCACAAGATACCAATAAACATCTAAATTTAGGGTTTCTCAGGGCTACCCCTTCCACTGCCCTTACACCTATCTGCTCTTAGTAGGACTGCTCTTTTTTATTTTATCACATAAACACCTTTAGCTGGTATGAAACTTGTTACAGCCACCTAAGTGTCAAACACAATTGCTTTCAAATGTTTTTCAATTTTTTATTTTCTTGGTACATGTTTGTAGTTTGTGTAGTTTATAATCATCTTGGGGAATATAATGTTGAGTGAAATAAACCAGACACACAACCTTAAATACCGCATGGCATCCTTCATCTGAATGAGGCAAAGTATAAAAAGGATACAAAAATAAATGATAGATTTTTTTTTAAGCAGGGCTTTTAGGTGGGTATAAAAGTTTAGCTCAAATTAGATAAACTTGAGCAAAGTAATTAATCATAATCACTGTGAACTTGTTTTACTATTATTATGAAATATTTATCTAGTTCAAATGACTGATTTCACTCACCAAAGATTCTACTATAATGTGTGGTACTTAATGGGCATTAAGTAGCAGCTGGGATGTTGCTATTTTATTCTTTTTTTGGTATTCAGTACAGGGTCTACAGGGTCTCACTGCTTAGACTGGACTCAGTGATCCACCTGTGTTCAGCCTCCCAAAAACTGGAATTACAGGCATGTACCACCATGCCCAGTCTCAATCACCATATCAGCAGGCTCCGGGGGCAGGACCAGCCCAGCATGGGGATCGAACCCAGCTGCTATGCTCTGCCTATGCGGTCGCTTTAGTCTGCTCAGCCTTGTTATTATAATTACTGTATTATTATTATTATTATTATTATTATTATTATTATTATTATAAGGAACAACTAAAGTGAATAAAACATACAGCTTTGTAAACTAAAAATAAAGATGCAGCTCAGTGGTAGAGGGCTTGCCTAGCACACGTGAGGCTCTGGGTTCAATTCCCAGCATTACTACAACAGCAAAAAAAGATCAATACGTTCCCTAGGGTGGGACACAGATCCTCAAATCTCTCAATAGTACTACAAAAAGGTGTTATGCACTGAGGATGTACAAGGAGCAGCTGGCAGGGCACTCCTGTGTCAATGTTTAAACACAGCTGCTTTGTGAAACAAGCACATCATTTTAAAAAGCAGATGTTTGGAATCGATGTGATAATTTCACTTACACAAAAATTACTGCTGAGCTGATCATACAGTCTTTAAATCATGAGGACAAACTGCACTGCAGTTACTGAAATTATAAAGAAGAAAATCAGTTTAAATCACCGTGATATGGGTTTAGACAATAAGCAAGAATTTCCCAACAAATTAAGACACGTTTCAAAGAGAAGTGTGTAAGTTCCTGCTCAGAAAACCCTTAACAGTGATATGGCTAACCCAGTTGCACCAAACTACAGGCTGACTGCTCCTTATCTGAAGTGTCCTTGGACCAGAGTGCTTAGCACTTTCTGGGTCTTTTCTTTTTAAAAAGAAATACGTGCATATTTATAAGGTGAGATCGGAGGCATGGGGCCCAGATCTACACTGAAATTCACTTGTGTTTGCGGGCTGGGGGTAGCACAGCAGCACAGCTCTCGCTTAGCACGTGCAGCGTCCAGGGTTTGCAGACCAGCAACACAAAAAGAAAGAGGAGAAGGAAAAGGAAAAAAAGCTGGAGAGTCATTTATATTTCACAGTAATTCTATACAGTATTTTAGTGCACCTGCACATCTCATATTATACTCACTACCCTGTGAGTAGGGAGCTTGGTACTTATTTTTTATATTAGTAGTACAATCTACAAGGGTTGCTGGGCCCAGAATTCACGTATCACCTGCACAAAACCAGTGAAAGCATTTTCTTCTAAAGTCCGTGCCTGTTATTAGAAAAGCTCAACTGTACCTGTGGGAGAAAGGTAGCCTGTTTTTTTCTTCAACTGACAATCCTTCAGAGAAGGTATCCGCATCACTGTGGGCCACAGAACTGCCCAGTTCTGTGAGGGTGCTTCCACTGAAGCTAGTCCCCAGGGAAAACCTGTCGAAACCTGGAATTTCATCTGGTTTCTCTTCTTCAACTGGTTCCCAAATATTCACCTCAAAAGAACCTATATTTCTCTGCACACGTTTCATGGCTTTCACCCTCACTTTATGGACAGAACGCATGACAACAGACATCATTTCCTCAGTGTGGGGACCTGGAAGCAGAGAACAAGAAGCCTGTGGTTCGTTGTTCAACTCAAGACATGAAGGGCCAATTTATTTATTTATCTATTTATCTATCTATTTATTTATTGAAGGATCAAATTTTGGTTCCCTGTGGGGACACAAAGCCTAATTACTAAGGCTTATCTTGTTGTTACAGATTATGTGTTACTGAGTACTCATTAGAAAATATGAGAGGTATTTGAGAGGCCCTGGGTTCAATCTTCAACACCAAAAATATAAAAAATTTAAAGCTACAACATTGTAAATGTACTTTATGCCACAGAATTACACACTTAAAAATGGTTTAAACTGGAGCTGGGTGACAGTGGCACACACCTATAATCCTGGTGTTTCAGAGGCTAAGAGGCAGGAGGATGGAGATAAGGATGGAGGATGGAATCTGAGGTAAGCCTGGGCAACAGTCTCAAACAAACAGGGTTAAAGTATCAAGAAGGAATATTATACATATATTCATTAGGCAAAGCACTGTATGTCTGCTACCCTCTCTGTGCGGATCTGTTTAGTTTAGAGACGGAATCTATTTGTCCAAGCTAGACTGAACTCATAGGCTCAAGCAATCCTCCTAAATCAGCCTCCCAAGCAGACAGGACGACAAGCTTGTGCCACCACAGCCAGCTTAGGTGCTCATTTTATGTCTTGTTCAATCCTCTCTCCGTACATATTCATAAAGTAGATAGTAATATATCCATTTTACAAATAAGGAAAGGAGGATGAGAGACTGCGCATGTCGCTGAAGGTCACAAGGTCACTGTTATGGTTTGTGTCTAGTTGTTCCCCAGAGCCTCATGGAAGTTATGGGGCAGACGTGGCTGGAAAAGCAACTAGTGGCTTGAGGGGCAGGCCCCAGGGCAGGCTAGGGGCGGGGCCCGAGACACGCAAATCCTTAAACTGGCCAGCCTGCGCTTTCTCAGAGATGTGCAGAGGGCCATCCTGGACATGGCAGCGCCCCAGCCTCTCCTCCAGTGTCTTGGAACCTCCGGTAACTGGGAGCTAAGTAAACTTTTCCTTCCCTCATTTTGAGTGTCGGGTATTTGTCCCAGCAATGAGAGAAGAGTAAGACAGTCACTGATTAACAGAGTTATGACCGAAATGAAAGTCAGCTCCATCTGGCTCTAAAACCACAGAATTAGTTCTGCAGAGCCGTAAGGTGTTGACCTCACACTCTTGTCTCTCGGGAAAAACAAAAAATGCAGATACATGAGAGGCAGAAATGTTTTCAAAAAAGAGAGCAATTTATCCATTAGATAGCTAAGAAAGAACAAATACCTTTCACAACACAGTGTTTGAGTCTCTGCTGAAGAGAGTGGTATTTTTCTCGTAAAGGAACTCTTATATCCTCTGGATTGGGAAATGCTTTCATGAAAATTTCTGCTACCTTGAGAAAAAATGTTTTAAAGTTTATGAGTAACATCATTTCCCCCTTTTTCATTCCTGAATAATTTAACTCAAGATATAAAAAAAATTTACTTCTAATCTTATTGATGTTGGATGAAGGCTCTTTAGGAATGAGCCTGTGAATTTAAGTCACTATCAACATCTTTCTCCCTCCTTTAAAATTTTTTTTAAGTGTTTCATTGACAAAGTATTTATTTATGCCTATAATATAGTATTAATTACCACAGCTAAATAAACACATTGTGTTTATAGTTTTTATAGTTACGATCTCGTGTGGGGAGGGGTGAAATCACTTAAAATCTCCCCCTTATAAAATTTCAAGTAAACAATACAATAGTATTAACTACAGTTACAATACTATATGTTAGATGCTCAGAACTCACGTATTTTTTTTTAATAAACTTTTTTTTTTTTTTTT